TGGGGTTATAACAATGCAATTCTGGTGTGATGCTGTAAGATAAACACTGGACTCTAACTGCAAAGTTGGCGGTTCAAACCCAACAGCCGCTCCTCAGAAACTATATACAGGGTTCCTATGAGTCAAAACTGACTCGACAACACTTAGCAACAACAACAATAATAATTTTGATACCAAAGCCAGATAAGTATGAAAACGATTGTAAACCAATTTCAAAACTTCAGATGCAAACATCCCTAATAAAATCCTCACAAGGTGAATTCAGCAAGGTATAAAGGTAACACATATTACCAAGAATGTCAAGGTGATTTACTACTGAAGACATAACTAAAGCAAAGCCAGATCACTGAACATAAATCCTCAGGAAATAGGAACATCAGCTCATATGCACCTCAATATGCAGAGCACACACTGGACTCCTTACTGTTCTTAGAACTATCAGGAAGGCACACACCTCTGCTCTTTGCTGGCCTCTCTTCCCCAACGCCTTTCCTGCAGATAGCTGAAAGGTTCCTCATGGCAGGAAGACCTTCCCAGAGCACATGACTCAAAATAGCAACCTCCTAATACTCACCCTGGAGTCCTGGTGTGGCTCTGTGGGTTAATGCGCCAGACTGCAAAGCTGTTTGAACTACAAGGTAGGAGGTTCAAGCTCACCAGCTGCTCCTCGGAAACCCTACAGAGGGTCGCTATGGGTCGGAATCAACTTGATGGCACTTGACAACAACAACAACACTCACCCTACTTCTTGGATCAACCATCAACACTCATGGAAGCAGCAGTCAAGAAATCAAAAGATGTATTCCATTAGGCAAATCTGCTGCACAAGACCTTTAAAAAGGTTGAAGAATATAGATGTCAGCTTGAGGACGAAGGTGTGCCTGACCCAAGCCATGGTAGTTTCAGTAACCTCATATGCATGCAAAAGCTGTACAGTGAATAAGGAAGACTGTAGAAGAATTGAGCTTTTGACTTATGGTGTTGGAGGAGAATATGGAAAGTGCCATGGGCTGCCAAAAGAACCAACAGATCCGTGTTGGAAGTGCAGCCGGAGTGCTCCTTGGAGGCCAAGATGGCCAAACTTCTCTCATTCTTCGGACATATTGTCAGGAGAGACCAGTCGCTGGAGAAGGATATCATGTTTGGTAAGGTGGAGGGTCAAAGAAAAAGAGGAAGACCTCCAGCAAGAAGGACTGGCAAAATGGCTGCATCAATGGGCTCAAGAGTGGCAACAATTGTGAGGTTGGCCCAGGATCGGGCAGTGTTTCGTTCTGTTGTACATAGGGTTGCTATGTCAGTACTGACTCAATGGCACCTAACAATAACAACAACACTCACCGAGAGTTCTGGTGTAGTGCTGTAGGAAAAGCACTGGACTGCTAACCACAAGTTTAGAGGGTCAAACCTAGCAACCACTCCTCAGAAACCTCATACAGGGTCACCATGAGTCAGAATGGATTCAAACAGTCACCCAACACACACTCACGGCCCACCCTCTGGTCCCTACTTCATGTTTTCCTGTAACATTTTGTTGTTGTCATGTGCCGTGGAGTCGGTTCCGACTCATAGTGACCCTGTACAGGGGTTCCGAGGCTCTAAATCTTTATGGGAGCAGAAAGCCTCATCTTTCTCCCGCGGAACAGCTGGTAGTTTCGAACTGCTGATCTTGAGATTCGCAGCCTGATTCGTAATGACTAGTGATACTTATATTAACTCTTTTCTTCTCTGTCTCCTTCCTTCACACCACTCCTTGTCTCCCCAGCTCAAATGTGAGCTCTCTGGGGCAAGGATTTTTGCCTGCTCTGTGTACTGCTTTTTCTTTAGCATCCAAAAAAGGAACTGATCCTGGCTGGTGCTCAACAGATGCGCAGAACGGTGTGCCGGAAAACTTCAGAAACCAAGACTAGCTTGCTTTACGCCGTTTTAGTAGGCTTCTTCATTTTACTTGCTATTCGATGACACAATTTTAAGAGGAAAATGGAGAAAGCAGCAACAGGCCATTCATCACAGCTAAAAAAATTTTTTTAATCTAATGTTTATGTTCGTGCTTGTCACTGCAATAACATAATACTACGTTTCTAGCTTTTGCCAAATAAATATCAATAGAAGAAAGGCTTATGTTTCTACCAAACCCCAAACCCAAACCCACTGCCAACTTAAAGCAATCCTTTACAGGGTTTCTGAGACTATAAATCTTCATGGGACCAGACAGCCTCAACTTTCTCCTACAAAGAGTCTGGTGGGTTTGAACTGCCGACCTTTTGGTTAGCAGTCCAGTGCTTATCCAACACCACCACCACGATTCCTTAAATTCTGCTATGCTTCTGTTTGTCACAAAATGAGTGACACAAATAACTTAAAAATATTAGAGTGTTACAAAGTGGTGAGCCCTTTATTTTTGACTCAACTGTCTTCCACCAAATTAAAGCAACCACTTAGAGAATTTGTTTTGCTGTTAGTAAGCCACAGGATGCAGGGCCGCCTACATCTCAAGGCCCTCTCTGATGTCAATAGAGCTAAGATATTACAGTGCTACTTAAGCTCATTCCATCCCTGGAAGATATTATCACAATCCATTTCCTCTTCCACACTCAACTAGCACCATTTGTACTGGTATTGGCATCATGCTCACATTATATAAAGTTCAGTTTTATTGTATTCCAGTGCAGTGAAGATCAAATGAGAATTCAGAATTCATCTCTTCAGAGCAAGATCACATTGAGGAAATGGAGAGCAATAACACTGTTTTTAGGGTTTAGTTATTGATCAGAAGACCATGTGTGACAGCCATGTCATCATGTGTGACACACATGTCATCATGTGTGATGGAAGAAACAAAAGCCAGTTTTCTATGCTGTGAGGTAAGTTCATTTACTCATACAATCATTGCTGTCTTCTACTCTACGACTTTTGGGTTCTAAGCCTCGCCCAGCACACATCAGAACATAAAACCAAATCAGCAGAAAGTTTAGTCTAAAGATTATGCTTCACTCTTTTGAAGGTTTGGAGTACACTGGTTTCTCCCTGGTACAAGTTTTCTTTTCATGTGCCTGGAAAAACATAACTTCCATGTCATCGTCTTCATCCTTGAGCGTCAACTTCAAGGGAACGCTTGCCAAGTTGAAGCACTGAAAACCATAGCCCAGAAATGTTGAAATTGCTAAGGAATTTCCTAGCCAGACTCCAACCATTTCCCAACTGGGATAAAACAAAGAGTATTTTATATCCTTGCAAATCAATCCTTCCTCCGTCTACCAACTCTTTCTCCAAAGCAGCAGTCACGACCAGCCAACTCACCAACCAAACAAATATGGGGAAGCAGATACAATATTGCCCAATTCATTGGGGTGTGCATTTACAGAAATATTTATATAATAAAATGAGAGGTAAACCATGTGTTTCTCATAAAGTCAAATTTACACCATTTTAAAAACATCCTTTTTTTTGAGGTTATGGTGCTAAAAAAATGTCTATTATTTTATTTTTTTTACATTCTACATTTTTTGTGGCTAAAGATGTCTTTCTTATTTTACATAATGCTGATGTTGTTGTTGTTAAGTGTTGTCGAGTTGGTTCGGACTCATAGAGACCCCGTGTGGGGTTTCTGAGGAGCAGCTGGTGGGTTTGAACTGCTGACCCTGTGGTTCACAGTATAGAGCTGATCCTACAGCACCAGACCAGGAGTCCAATAATGCTGATTGTTGTTGTTGTTAAGTGCCGTCAAGTCAGTTCCAACTCATAGCAACCCCATATAGGGTTTCCTAGGAGGTTCAAAGCAACTTTACAGTCCAGTGTATTAACCCGCAGCGCCACACCAGGATGTTAATTTGGAATGTCCTGGGTGTTTTACAGCCTTGCTGACAAAATTAAAAGCTAGAAACTCTTTAAATCCTCCAATTAAAAAAAAATATAATTATATTTTGTATTTTTAAATTTACTGGTCCTTAAAACTCAGAGCCTGGGAAACACAGTATAGATCAAGGCTCCCTTCAGCTGTTTCACACCCTTGATGGATTTCTTGGTAAATTCTCCATCAAAGTTTTGTAGCAAGATAAAGGTTATGCCTTCATTTACTACAGCTCAATGGAAACATGTCCTTAATTTCAAGCATTAAAGAAAGACATTTCCAATGAAGATCATGAGTACAGCATCCTTTATTAAAACGGATCAGGTCGGTACTTATAGGGCACTGATTTAGAAGCACAATACCGGTTCTGGGGTGTCACCACTGTTACAGGATGAGGCCGTTTCCACAAATGTGAGCACAACACACAACCAAAGATGGCAGAGGGTCAGGCAGGCCACTCACTTTGCTCAGCCGCTGGCAGCAATGTGTATTTTAGTCGTTTACAAATCAGCACATATGACTTTCAGTCACACATTTACCTGAGAAGGAATCCGCATTAGAGGAAAGAAAGCAAAGCTGAGTGGGTTTCCTGTGTGGGAAACAACGCTGCAAGTTATTTTCACGCCACGCGCTACCTTGGAGAAAGAATAATGGCAATGTGCAAAGTGGGACATAGTTTCAGAAAACCTTAGGAAGATCTCTGCAGGCCGTGCGATGTTCTCCCATACATCAAACAATTAATCTCCATTCCCTCAGAGGGTTAGAAACAAAAAGGAGTAGCTAGTCCTTGCTTTTAAAAGTGTGTTTCCAAGAAAATAGAAAGATACTTGCATTTTGGACCAGAGGTAAGAGCTGGCCGGGGGTATGTTCTAATAATACGATTAGATGCTTTTCTATAATTGTGCCCCTTCTGATTAAAATGTTCTTGCTAATATTAATCTGACATCCAGTTGAAATGAGAATTTATATCAATTGCAGAATAATTTTTAGTAGTATCTTAAACAAATGAATTTTTCTCCCAATTATTCAACATTTTGCCATGTTCGTAACAAGGAAAACGACAGCTGAAGAGTTAGGAGATGGCAGGGTGCCCTGCAGTACATGTGCAGAGGTGGGGGCAGCTGGCCAAGGTACTCCACGCAGTAATCAATGCTTAGTTCTTCTTGGTTTTCTTCAGATAGCGAGCCCGCGAAGACTTGTTTACATTCATGACCATATTAAAGTAAAGCCAAGAAGGCAGGGATGATATTAGCATGGCCTACGGAAAGAAAAGGATGAGATATGTAAGTGTTACCTACAATTTGGGCTAAACTGAAGCATATGATCGTATGCTTAATCATGTGCATCCCAGTGGATGTTGAGCTGGCTGCAACTCACGGTGACCCCGGGTGTGTCAGAGTAGAACTGTGGTCCACAGGGTTTTCCATGCTGATTTTTAGAAGTAGAGCATGCAGTCTTTCTTCCAAAGAGACCTCTGAGCAGACTTGAACCTCCAACATTCACAATTTGCACCCCCAGGGACTCCTGTTTTATTATAACAGGGATGCCTTATTAGTATGTCTAGACAATGTATCCCAAACCAAACCTACTGCCAGAGTCAATTCTGACCCTGTAGGACACACTAAAACTATTCCATAGGGTTTTCTGAGATGCTATGTATCTTTATGGGAACAGACTGCCTCATCTTTCTTCCCGGAGTGGCTGGTCGGTTTGAATCACCCACTGTGCTACCAGGGTGCCAGAGACAATGTCTATTTGCTGGTCTATCCCACACCCCTCTGTGACTCAAGGAGAAAGAGAACTCTAGACCAGAAAGCACTGCTTTGGGACGTCAAAATCTACACACCATTAGAGAATGGACCAGGTATCCGCTGGTGCGGGACTGCAAGCCGATTGTTTTCATTGCAGACTTCACAAATGTGTCTGAAGAGGGCTTGTCCAAAGTCGGCCTGCGGATTTTCGCCAGCTTTGTAGCTACAAAGTATGGCAAGACACTCTAGAAAGGAAAACCCCCGAAAAAAAACATGTCATTGATTGAAGAAGGCCACAAACTTAGAATTCAGTGATGCCGGATGGCACTTAGCAGTAGAAACATTCTGACGAAATCTTAAATTTCATCAGAATGTTGCAAGCAAGAATAAAACAGTGATCTAAAGCCAGCTTGAGAGAGCACCTGAGAACATAAAACCCACTGTAAGAAATCTGTCAGCAGTAACAGAATTTGAGACTAAGGAAGATATTAAAAATACGTAGAAGCACACCTTTTGACATTTTAAAAAGAAGGCATTCAAAAGAAATCCAGAAAGTAGAATGATTAAGGCTGGGCTACTCTTTCCACCCTGACTAAATTAAAAACGGTAACAGAATGGCCAAGGAGGGGACTTGTGGCCTTTTATCCTTCTGAATTTTCTCTGTAACTAATGGGGACTTGGAGTCCTGGTGTGGCGCTGTGGGATACATAAAGCACTGGACTGCAAGGTTGGTTTGACCCACAAGGTTGGTGGCTGAAATTCACCAGCTGCTCCTCAAAGGGTCGCTATGAGGGGCTTAAATTAGTTCTGTCAGCTTTGGTCCCTCCCTCTCACCAAGACTTCATTCTCTCAGTCTTGAAGTACCACTTTTCTATCTCTGAGTTTGATAAATTAAGAAGGCCTTTCTTTTTTAATTTTGATTGTTTTCATTGTTGGGGGGAGGGGAGGAATACAGCAAAACGATACAGGAAGAGTGTGGGAAAGTAAAAGACATCTTACAGGGCTGGTATGGGATGACAATTCCGAACACCACCTTTTAGAGGAACTTAACTAGTATTCAATTCTCCATTGCTGATGCTTTATACATTCGAGGGGTGTGATTAATCATAAAATATCAGGAACCCTTATCACAATGAGTCATTGTAGAAGGAAGAGGTTTCTTCTGTAGTTCTGTTAAGTTCTAACACGGGGAAGCAAAGCAAAACAAAACAGAGTAGCTCACAAAGTAGAACCACATCTGCATATACACTCATCTCAAATCCTGAAGAAACATACAAACAATTTCCTGAAGAAACATACAAACAATTTCCTATGTGCCAGGTTTCTAGGTTATTAAAAAAGGTTTCCATGTAGACATTAAAAATCTGCTAAAGGTAAAGCTTTGAGCAACTTGAGATAAGTATGTATGATAATTGTTGCTGTTGTTGTTGTTAT